TCATTTGTCAATAAATCCAACATTTCATGAGGAGCATCCAGGTAAGATAATCGGGGAAGTCTTTCTCCATCTTCTGCAAATTCAGTTAAGGTCTCCTCTTTCCTCTGTACAACATTCCAGAACTTTACTCTGGTTATTTCTTTCCGGTATCTCACTCCTAAATTGTTGGATATGGTGGCTACCAATGCTTTATAGTTATCGTTCTCAGCTGGAAGATTACCTAATGTTTTCAAAGCAGGCCCCTTTAAATTGGCAACAAGATAGATAGCTTGTTTTTCATTATTCTGTTTGTTTCATTCTTAAAATAATTTTGAAGTGAGCTTGGTATGACTCTTATGGTACCTTCACGTCATATTCTGTTGGTTTCTCAATTGACCAATGTTGAAATGGCTAGCTACATCCTAGAACTGGATTTGGTAGTGTCATGGTGGAAGTACTCCAAGTAGGTCCTCCAGTAACAAATAGAACAACAGTAGTAGTAATAGGCATAGACCGAATAACTTCTCCTATTCCATATTTTGTAACAGATGGCATCCCAGGCTGGAACTTCTAGGCCAATGTAGAAAGAGGTGTGGTTGGTTTAGTATTTGCATTTAATAATTTATTTTACAGCTATTTTATTCTGTCAGTGATGCTCTTTTCTACCTCATTGATATCTTTTTTTTACTTCATCAAGTTTGTTATTACAGCATTGGCATACTTCTTCATTTTTGTTGTTGTAACCTCTCTATACATCTCCAACAGTGTCATCTGTCTTGTCTTCAAGATTTGTATTTATAGAGTTAATAAATTCATCATCTCAAGTAATGCTTGAATTTCACTACATAACCTTGTGGTCACCATCTTCAGTAGCTGAAGTTTAGTAAAAATAATATTTTACTTTCATCAAATAATTCCTCTTCTGACACCAATGTATTAGCTTCATTCTTTCACTGATGAGCTCTTTTAGATTATCTGGTAAAAATTAATTCAACTTCTAATCCACATAACAATAATAGATTACTTTATTTCTTACGTTATTATTTCTACAAACTTGAAATTGTACCATGCCCTTGGCCTACATTACAAATGACATTAACTGATGTAAAACAAATCAACTTATTTGTACACATTAACCATAATAGTGAAAACATTGACTAGTTTACTTTCTATCTTGAAATAAAACTATCTCCTTAACTATCTATTGGCCAACTCTTTCTAATTAACCTAGTGATGCTTCATGGAACATGATATTTCTTTTTTCATGAGAAAACACTTTCAGAGTTATTAACCTTCTTTTTATGTGACAATATTTCTGTTGCAGGTATCATCTTAATAGCCCTTCTCTGAACCCTTTCCAACAGTTCTATATCCTTCCCTTCTAAGGTAAGAAGCCCAAGACTGAACACACTACTCCAAATGTTGCCTAACCACTGACCTATACAATGACATTGTAACCCTTTTAAACTTAATCAATATTTCTGTAGATTTGACCTAAAATACTATTTGCCCTGCCACTAGCAACAGCACATTGCTTGGATAGCTTAAGAGACTGATCAGCCAAAACATTATATTCTCAAACTCAAATTGTAACATCTCACATGTATAACCTTGCATTTATTATAATTAAAAGCCATTTGCCATTTATGTGCTGAACTCACCAAATAATCCAAATCCTTTGGTAAAGCAGCAGCCAGCAACACCCACAAATTTAATTTTGTCAGTAAATTTAAAAAAATCTGTTGACCTTTCCTTCATCTGTGTCATTGATACACCAAATTTATACCTATACCTTCATCTAAATCAGCAGTAACCTCTTCAAAGAAAGTCAAAGTATTTGTAAGACAAGATTTTCCCATACTTAAATCATGCTAACAATCCAACAAAATTCTGAACTTTTTTAATGACTTTGAAAGGCATCTTTTATCAGACTTTCATAAACTTTCCCCACCACTGATATAAAACTAATAGGTTTATAATTGCTGGTACAGTTTTTATCACCTCCATTGAAGAGTATTGTTAGTCAACATCCAATTTTCTGGCACTTGCCCAATATTTGAGGACTTAAAAACGAAAATAGTATGAAGTGGTTCACATATCCAATCCTTAACCTCTTTCAAAACCCTTGGGTGAATATTATCTGTTTCAAATGCTTTATCATTCTTTACACTTCCCAATTTTTTCTTAACAAGCTCAGAATTGATGTGATTATCTTCTTCAGTGTTGTTTCCATTTAATAACTGTTCAGGATGAGGAATATTACTTGGATTTTCTTTAGTAGGAAGTGAAGAAAAAGTAGAATTTAACCCTTTCCTCCCGGGTATCCTTTACTATACATAACAGAAAGTTTTAGTGTCTTACATGCAAAATTTTATTAAACTACCTTTTGTTTATGTTATACAAATTAGTATAGCATAAAGTCTTAGCTAATAATCCATATTTTAATAGTATATAAGTTTTATGTTCCTAATTCTACAAGGCAATATTTTAAAAACATCCTGAATTTCCCCTAGTGTGACACTTGTGACATTTTCTCTAGCCATCTTGTCTTCTCTATTTTATCCAGCACCCCTTAAAAAGTTTGAAATTAAACATAAATTACTCTCTATAGAATCGTCATTGCTCAAGTGAACCATAATTTTTATAGCCTTCAATTTTGTTTGGTTACAGAATTATTGAATAGAAAATCAGACCACTCCAACAACACCCACCTGTCACATCCTCTCTTTCAAGATTTGTTAATAGTTCTTTCTTACATGTAATTATATGTTTAATTATATATTACCTATAATCATAGAAAGTCAATGTTTTCATCTATCAAATGACATATGGTATAACATTATGTTCTGAACAGATAATAGTCAATTTCACTCAAAGTCCAAGCAACCTACACGTGAGAAACTTATTGACTAGCTTGAATGAATTTGTAAGGCTCTTGTCACATAGTTAGAAAGCCAGAAAATTTTTGAGAGTTGGGGGAAATTGTCTACTTTTTGCATGTTGTTAGTCTGTGTTTTAGTATATTATTAAGTTCTGTATAATTAAATATAAACTATTACTTTAGTGTGAAGACAAAATAGGGATAAAAAAAATAATATAATTGGTTCTTAAATATTAGGATTAACAGTAACAGTTACTGGTATTTGGTATTGAGTATTTATTTTCAGGTTATGAGTATAAATACAATGGTTAAGACTAGTGTAGGAGTTAAGTGTTCACAGTTTGTTCACAGATTTCTTAGATGTAATGGATGCAATGAGTGGCTTTTATTTGGGAACTTGGGACTGGCATGTACTTTTAAAGAAGCTAGTAATGAAAATGTGCAATTTGTATGTAGAGTTTGTAGGTTGGAGAAGTTGGAGGCAATCATAATTAAAGTATAGACAATAGATAAAGAGAAGTGTAGACTGTGGGAAATAGCAGTAAGATTTCAGGAGGAGCTTAAGCTTTTACATGCAAGGGATACATCAGCTAAAAATGACTTTCAGGAAGTTAGAAAGAGTACTATTAGAGTAAAGTAGTGAATTTAGTTATAATGAGCCTATTCTGTTGAGCAACAAATTTCAGCCCTTGGCTTCTGCAGGTGAGGAACTAGTGGAGGGAAAGAAAATAAAAGGGTCATAGAAGGATTTGGATGATAAGGAGGTTATAGGTGATCTTTGACAAGACATGTGGATAGAATAGTCTATGGGGTAAATAAGGAGAAAAGAATCAGATTATGCTACCCAGGGTCGCAGGTGGAGGATATTACTGACAGAGCAGGAGATATAATAAATGGGCTAGCAGAGATGCAGGTTTGTGGTGAATGTATGGGCTAATGATGTAGGGAAAGGTAGGTCAGAGGAGCTAATTAAGAAGTACGAGGGGTTGATAAAGGCATTAAAAATAAAAGGACATAAGGCCCAACAATTCCATAAGCATCAGATATTAACCTTCTGGTATTATTCCTCAAAGGCCCTACTCCCATCCTAACATTTTGCTTACCCCTATTGTATTTCAAGAAATACTATTAATTTTTACATTATCAGCCAATCATTCTTCATATACTTTTTTGATTTCCCAACTTACCAATTGACCAACTCTCTTGACCCTTTATAATCCTCCAAATCTTTCATCATTGCAATCAATTTAAACCTTTTATATTGATAAAGCTTTTCTTTAATCTTATCTTTTATGAGCTAACCTGGTTTTTTACTTAGTCACTTTTTCTTCTATAACAGACATGCTTATCTTGAACATTTAAGAATTTATTTTTAAAAAATGTCCACATTTGATCAGTATCTTCAATTAATTCAGTTGTCAAATTCACAGAAGGTAATTCTTGTCTTTTCTCTTGAGAATTTGCTCTATTTTTAAAATTTGAAACCAAACTCTCATTATTCCTTATCTTCATATATAGCAAAACATCAAATGTAATTAAGAATGGTCACTTGCACCATGATGTTTCCACCCTATCAACCATTTCTTTATTAGGATTTAACAATAAATCTAAAAGAGTTGTTCCTAGTAGATTCTGTAACCAGTTGTTAAAGAAAACCATCCTGTACAGTTTCAAAGATGTGTCTTCCCCATGATTTAACTCCAACATTTCCCAATCTTTTTGCCTGAAGTAAAATTATTCCATAATTACAACCTGATTAACAATTCTTTATTTCACTGTACAGTTTCTCATTAATTTCAGTTTTATCTGGTGGTCTTTAACTAATTCCAACTAAAAGCCTTCTCCACTTATGGCTACTAACAGAAACCCAAATAGATTTAACTTCGTTGCTATTGCTATTAGCTTGAACAGGATGCAACTTATGTTTTACATACAAAAACCACTCCTCCTCCCCCTTTTTTATACTCTATCCCTATTAAACAACCTATAACCTTGTATTTTAAAATTATCTACATTTAGCCAGGTTTCAAAAGTTAATAAAAAAATATAGTAGCAACTATAGAAAACTGTTTTGTAGCAGATTATTTAAGTTGTCTGTTTTATTAGGTTTCAAGCTAAGTGAATTTTTTGTTGTTGCTAGATTACCCACACACTGATGTACAGCACCAACATGTTTCTGATCAAGTTTATACTGAGACAGATATTGAAATTTGGCTAACAAAATGTTCCTTGATGGTCATGGTGTTGGAAATGGTGTTTAGAGCTTGTTTCAAAGTGCTATCTGAATCTTCTCTGGTAAGATATGCAGAGACTGTATGATATTATTTTGGTATTGTGTATATATGATAATGGTTTTGCTTTTTTTTTTTCATTGTGATATTGTAGATGTTTTCTAATTATCACATGATATTTCAGACAGCTTATGGCAGTCATATTAAGCAGTAGTTATACGTCAGTTACAGTGTACATAGACATCTACCAATTGTAATATCTTGTAGTACACACACCACTGGTGACTGTAATTCTTATGTGAAGTTTTATATACTAGTTATCATTAGGGAACATGTGCATTCTAATTACCATGTCTGGATGTCTACTAATTACTAAATTACAAAAGTAAATGTATTAATGATTTTCAATCAACAAGATAAGTAAATTGATACTTTCAGATTTTAATGTTTTATTAATTATTTTATTAAGGTAACAACACAAAATTACAACATATAAATTTGCTTTTACATTTTACTTTATGTTACATGCACTAATATTATAAAAATCAAACTCCATGATTGATTATGTATAAATAGGCTGTGATTGCAGTATAGCCTTCAGGATGTGTATGGAAAAAAATTTAGCAGTAACTCCATTGATCCTGGAAAAAGGACACCAACCCTGAAAGTTATATTTCTTTCTAAAAAAGTTCAAAGAATATTAATGGATGCTTAAGTAACTTTGTTGGGAATTAATTTGGAATTATATCAGACAAGAAGTTCATGTTGTAATTATCATAATAAATTTATATTAAAATATATTTAAAATAGTTATTTTTTATTCTATCGTTATTATGCTCATTTTTGCTAATAAGCCTTAGTGAATTATTTATTGTATTTTTGCATAAATTTCACATTTTTGTTTTCCTAAGACACATACCTTGAAACTGTTTTTTAGAGCAAGCTTCTTTCAGTTGATTGACTGGAACTGTACCAGTACTGTTTTTCTTGAGTAATAGTTTCTCAAATTATCAATATCTAACAATGCTATTTCAGTTGTTTAACATAATTTGAAATATGCATGATCTATATGTTACTAATCAGTGTAGTAGCACTTAGCTCAGTATGTTTTACAACATGTCTCTCACCTTATGAGTGTGCTAAGTAATCAACTTCCTTATTGAGAGAAATAACTTAATGTGCATTTGCTAAAACACTTCACATACCCCTGATTGACAAGTGAGTGTTGTTTTGTTCATTCCAAATTCCAATACGATACTTCCACTCACAAGATTAACTATTCTCATTCAGTGCTGCCCTCTATATGTGAACTCTTTCTTTATGCATGCCACAAGCCTTCTGCTACCCTCTATTGGAATTGAAAGCTTCCAACATGTCCTTCGTGCAAATCATCATTAATTCATCTCCTCATCAGAAGGAGAATGACATGCTCACATGACGCATGTGATTTCCACTACACTCCTCAACCGAACTATCACTTCTAAGCTTGGTAATGTCAAGATCTTGTGACCAGCCAGCCTTTGTCAGAAGCAGTTCGAAAATTGCTCTTGGAGCAGGCCATCGAACATGTTTCCCATCCTTCCTGGGGTTTTTATTCTCACTTTTTCATTGACCCCAAGAAAATCCTAGGATTGGCAGCCAGTAATTAATTTATCTTGTCCCAACTGCTTTGTTTTACTACCCCAGTTTTGATCTCCTGTACTTTATCCCCAGAATGTGGCAGTCGATGCCTTCAGCCAGTATTGATCATAGAAGTATCTTTATGGGTACCAACCCATCCAATTACTTCATAGGGTGATTTCTCTCATCCACTCCACTCCTTGTCTGGTCCTCCTGATTGCTTCTTATTTGCCAGCTCATTCTTGGTTTCCATGGTTACATTCACTGCTCCTCTCCCCTTCTGTCTGTCTTCCACTTTCTCCCTACCTTCTTCATCAACCTCAATCACATGTCCTACATTGCACCCTTCAGGTTCTGCATTTTCATGCCTGGCTTCTATCCAGTCCTTGGTGAGAAGATCCGGTTTCATACATTGAGTTGCTTCCTTGTTAGCTGGTTCCACCTCTCCATTTTCTATGGATAGAAGTGGCACATATTATGTCATTGGTCTACAATTAGGAGGCTTGTGTGGAGGAATTTCTCACCTGGTTCTTTGACCTTGGGTCTTCGGTCTCCTCACTTACCCTGTCCTTACCATGCTCATGCGTTTCTTCCAGATATATCACCTTTCCAGGAGATTTACCCTTCTGGATTAGGATGTTAATGGGGTCCTTCATTCCCTTACTTCACCTCTGTTTGAAACACTTTTCTCATGTTCCATGTTTCCCTTAAAACATATTTCCTTCTTCGTTTAGCATGTGGATATCAAAAATCTGATTTGTTTGCCCTTGACATTTCACATACCCTTTATCACCTTACCTATCTTCTCCTTTAGCCAGATCGTTCTTTTCCTCTGAAGATTTCAGCAGCTCAGGAAGGTGGTTCCTCCTTTTCTCTCATTTCCCATCATTACCCTTGGCCAGATCCGGATAGACTTCTGTGTCTGGTCAGAGCTCTTCATTGTTATATTACCCATACTGCTTCCTTCCAGGGTACACATTCTCAACTTGTTATACCTTGGCAATTCTCCTCTCTTCGTGATCTTCCCCTTCTACACTTACCAATTGGGTCTGTGTTTTTGATTGTTTGGCCTCTTCCTTCCAGAAATTGTACAGGTGTACTCCCATCAGATCAGACACCTTACTTTTTCCCTTGCTTCTTGTCTTCATCATCTAACGGAGGAGATTCTGCAGTCTGTCATGTGGACCACACCTAATACATTCATCTTCCACTATTACCATCACATCATGGTTTCCTCTGTGAGATGTCAGGATGTAGTTCACCCCTTCGATTGGGAGCGATCATACTACCCACACGTGGATGTCAGTACCCCATGGACAGATTTTGGATTTAGAGCGAACTGATCGACATAAATCCTCATACAGTTTTTGGTTGTCTACCTTCCTTCCTCGATTTCCTCTGTGGTGTGGGTTACAGCAGTGGTATGTGGAATTGTTTTGATTCTGTCCTTGGCTATCCCTCATCCTCTCTTCTTACAGGGATATTATTGCCATTTAGATGGTCCCGGCCTGTTTCTCAGTTGGGGGAGTTGGTTGCATATGATAGACATCCTTTCGATACTGGATGTCAAGTTCCAAGATCGATAGCTCAAAGCTAATCCTCATGTCATACCTGGGAAACAAAATGGTTCTCAATTCCCTGTTTCTTGAGTTAGAGGTGAAGACAATGTCAGAATTTAAAATACAGTTCTTTACACCAAGTGTCAAAATAAATGGCTTTTACTTATACTTCTTAATAGTATAAATATATACTGTGTTGTTGTTGGGCTTAGGATTGTTTTACAGTAGGTGTCTGTCTTGTTGGTGATAAATTCAATGATAAATGAACAGCACACATTGAGTAGTTGAGTAGAGGAGTGTAGAGGGAGTCACATGCATCACCTGAGCTTGTCATGCTCCTATTGGTGAAGAGGTGATGCATGATGATTTGCATGAGAGGCATGTTGGAATTATAGTATTTAACATTGAATATTATTTATGATTTTGACATGTTGGAATCTTGTAATTCCAATGGGGGAGGGGGCGAACGGAAGGCTTGTGGCATGCATAAAGAAAAAGTTTGCATATAGGGGGCAGCACTGAACAAGAATAGATAATGTTGTGAGAGGAAGTAAGTACCTATCGGAAATGCATTTTCAGAATAGGAAAATTATAACTTTCTTGCAAATATCCAAATACTTTTTGAAAGTATGCTTAATGATCTACTCCTCTATGGAAAAGTTTGTGTTACATTTCTAAAATAATATTTTAAAATATGCATATAGACACACACACTGTGTTGTGCAGGTGGTACAACACCAAGAGATAACATGTTGTTTACACAAAAGTGGTGGTTAATCTGTTGCTGGGTAGTATTAATGTGGTACAGTATATTGTCTACTGAAAGGATGTCAACAAGCAAGTAACAATTTTGTCACTTGATTAAGGTAATAGATAGTGGTTGTGGCTGGACAATCACTTCATTAAAATGTACATTTCTAGCTGCACTTTTTACCAGTATGAATCCAGTTGATCATGCATCTTTTAATTCAGATTCCTCATTATTTTGCTTGACAGACTTCCTATGCTACTGCATAGGAGACATGCTACTCTATGACATCAGAATAGTCTTGAAATAGTGAAAACTTTGGAAATATTTTAACATGACTATAGTTAATGTTGGGCCTATAGAGAAGTATCTTTTGTCGGTAAAATCTTCTAACATGCAGGCTCTACCTAATGTTGCCAGTAGCTATACTCTTAGAGTGAAAGAAACCAGTAGCTGCTTCTATAACCATGGCCATGCCATTTGAACTTCTACTTCAAGACAAACCTGAGAAATCCCAGTAAATGTCTGTCCATCCTGCCAACAAACCAGTTTCAGCTGCTGTATAGCCAACCAAGAAAAAAATGAACTGAACAAAAAACGTTTTTTAAGCAGGACTAACTTTATTCAACCAAATTTGTCTGGCAGTTATGATTCTTTAGAAAAGCAAAAAGATAAACTTGTTTTTCTGAAGCTGAAATTTCATACATGTGTTATTCTTTAAAACTTATTTTACATTCTAACTTGATTGCATTCTTCATGTAGAATTACAAAGGAATGTTCTTCTGATAAGGGTGTTTTAAAACTTGATTTACAATGAAAATATGACATCCCAACTTTGGATTGGACCAAATTTTTATTAAAGTGTTTCATTAACTATGATTCACCTGTATTGTAGGTATTTTAACATAAACTAATAATGATTAAAAAAAATTTTTTTATAACTTCAAAGTTATAATTAATAGGCCCCTCAAGAGCCAGTGGGGGGTCATTTTTGTTGAAAAACAACAACTCCCAATCCAGGATTTTCTTAATTTGAACTGAAAATTTTTGGACATGTTATATTTGCTAAAAAGAATTCCTGGACTCTTTTAACGTTGGGGCTGCATGAAAGTGATTTGAAGTGGTAAGGTGACTGAAATCTATCATCACATCACGAGCTTGACAACCAAGCACAAGAACCATGGAAGTCTCCAAATGACACACAGAGGTATTCAGGAAACATTTAGAACCACCTTGGTAGATATTGTGCAGCAAGCCAATTACAATATTATGCCTGGAGCTACTTTCAAAGTTTTCCTGACTGCTCATCCTACTGCTGATTATCGTGATGTTTCAACCTTCCCTATCAATTCACAGGTGAAATCGTTTGTATCTCAATGGAAAGCTAAGCATAAAATACTGATAGCAGAAGCATAAAAGGTTGGCAATTGCTTAACTAATGTTGCTGAGAATGTGGCTTTATTGATATATACTGAATTTACTCCCAGCCGGTAGACCTTAGTACTAGCTAGTATGGAGACTTGAAGATGCTGTATTTCACTAAAATATTTATCAATTAACAAACAAAAACTTGTCTGGAAGTTGTCTCGAAAAGATACGTCCAAAACCACCCTCTTTGGGAGTTTCTAGATTGAACTTAATTTTATGTTCAACAAATTGTAGTGTAAAGACACCCCTTGGGACATGTTAATAATAAATCTTCAGCAGTATTAAACAGTTATTCTTATACTTTATGTTTTTAATTGTTAGGGGTTTATTTTATCACAAAAAATGTGTGTAATTATTTTATGGTGACATTTCTTTTATTTGATGTGTTAAAACTTGTATTCCATTTAAAGGATATTTCTTTTAAATTTGTAATAAAGGGTTTATGTTTCATGATACGCTGTAAATGGTTATATAGTATTCTTATATTTTAATAGTTTATTCTTGTGAACATTTTGTTTCTTATGTGGAATTTTTACTACTTTAATTGTTGTTTATAATCATTATAAGAACGATATTATATTTTATCATATTGTATTGTAATCAGATTGTTAATTTATTAATATTTTTTTGTGAGATTCTTCAAAGGTATTTTTATATTATATTCTTTCTATATAGATATGTTTCTCAATTTATTTGAATGTTTTCCATGTGTTTTACTGTGGTGAGAGTAAGTTATACCAATTTCTTGCCCAATGTATGAGCTTTTTTTTTAATTTGGATTTTAGATTTTAAAATTATGAATGGTCAAGGATGGCTTTTTAAGGCAAAGGTGGAGGGGAAAGATGTTGTATGCAGGTGTACTGTCTTTTACCTCCGTTATCATTTTACCCCCTGATAAAATTCTTCAAATGTTTCATGCTTGAAAATATATGTGAAGTTTTAACAATAGAAAAATTGGTCAAGGAAGTGGCTGAGTTCCTTTCTTATCCATTTTTCTACTGTAGTATGCACAACAACATGTGTGCTTTGACAAAGATGCCACACATTTAGCAAGGAGGGAGAGTAGCCTGGGTTTATTAGCCAGTGGTATTACTCTTCTAGCATGCACTTTACCTTTATATTATGATGTGTTATATAATTTTTAATGTATAGTGAAAGGTAACACTATCTGCCAATTACTTTTTTGGGATTCTATATATATACGTATGTACACGTTCAAGTTATCATCTCATGCTATACATGTTTGTTGTTAACTGTTTAGCAGGAAGCAGCAGCATCACAATCACAAAACTACGGCTTTCAACCTCTACCTTTTTGTGTGGGTGTTGATTGGAAGAGATTTAAAACATTGTTGGATATACCCTCTGTTCTTCTGCTGAATAGCCATATTCCACCAGCTTATCGAAGTACGTGGCACCTATTGTTTTCTTCCAATGTTCATGGGGAAAGCTTCTCTAGTATGCTAACACGGGTAGTATGCCAAGGCCCCTCCATACTACTGGTTCGTGACAAGAATGGGTATGTGTTTGGAGGATTTGCTTCAGAAGCTTGGGAGCCCAGCACAAAATTTTCTGGTAAAGTTTAATTTCTTTTCTTGTAAACCATTTTAATAAGATCCAATTAATTAATTTTTTTAAATGTTTCTAGATGGTGAAACAATTCATGTAATAGATTAATTTATATTTTTTAACTTTTTATTTTGATAGAAATGAATTAACTATCCTTTAATAATGAGATAAAGGTGAATATAAGTATCTTATTTTGGCTTCAATCTTGTAGTATGTAAGTTTTAAGTTATACTTGAGTATTAAAACATTACTTTGGTATCGCAGTAACAAAGAATTTCCTCTACTAATCATTACTACACTAATTAAAATAATCTGTATTAATTATTTTTTGGTAACCTTTGAAGCTGTACTCTATCAAGTTGAATAAAAATTAGCTCTTCGTGTAAAAACTCCATCAAAATATGATGCAAAATTCTTTTTTTTCCTACACTGTAAAGAACACTAAACAAAACTTTCTATATATACTTACTAATACTCTGTGTTAAATTCATTTGTATCACTATATTCAATTTAAACAATTTTAAAATTACCCTTGCTAAATATATCTACATTCCATTAACACATGATATTTAGTGTTACATGTTGTTCAGTCATTACAGTAAGGGCTTGACCACGACTGGCAACAGAGGTTGGTCTTACATTTATTACACTTGACCAAAGCACATATTCCCTATCTCGTTTAGTCATGATAGCAGTACTAATATCTTTGGCCATATGCACCCACAAGTGTAAACATATGCTCAAGAAGTAGGCAACTACATGATAATGAGAGGCTGTGCATGATTAATCACTTATTTCCCAAGATATTTGGCCAGTGAGTTATGATTATAAAAACAACAACACCTTTCTGCCTAGTGGGTGGAATTGCCACATTACTTAGGTGACATTTGTTTGAAAAGAGTAGTGTTGTTATTATCTGTGTAACATAGTATATATTGTGTTACACTGTAAAATTATTGATATCAAAATCGTTTATCACAAATTCAACTATAAGAAAATCTATCAAGATATAGAAATGTATCATACGAGTAAATTCAATCATTAAAATTCAGAGGTTATTAAAAATATGAAATTTAACATAAACATAACTTTTTTTTATATATATAAATACTTGATTGCAATTATTAAACAATGCCATCACAGGCCACAAACAAAAAATGAACTAAAGGTCTAAACACATGAGTAACACAATCATTATTTACAAAAACAGTTTTGGTCTGACACTTATGTTGTATTAGATGCTGAATTTGGCTTGAATTCCCAATGGAGATAGTAATAATTTTCACTCGTAATCACTACTCTCTTTCTTATGATGAAAAATGAAATAATTGTACTGTAAAACCAAAAACAATTATTTTAATCCTGATACTATTGTAGAAAAATGTGTTTTTTTTTATTAGTTTTACTAATTAGTTGTATTCAGTGGATAGATACATGTACCAATAATTCCATCCATTGTCTCTCTAAAAGCCATAATGTATGTAGAACTGTAAGTTTTCTTTTCATCTGTTAAATGAGTTGTGAGAATATTGCACATCATATGTGCATAGTGTCGTTTTAATGACTAGATCATCATTGCTGCAAGAAATGGTTACCATATTTCTCCTTTTAAATATCCTCTGCATGATTTCCAAAATAAAAATAGGTTCCCTCCTTATCATCACGCAGTAATTTTAAAGACAAACAAAATCTGATTTACCCATTTTTTCTGCATTTTATTGCCCAATGAATATTATTATATAGTCTAGATTTAGAGTTATGTCTGGTGAATTTTTCTTCAGTACTGGAAACAGAGGTTGGTCTTACATCTATTACACTTGACCAAATCACATGCTTTCTGTCTTTAGTCATGATAGTAGCAATGACATCCTTGGCCATATGAACCCACAAGTGTAAACATATGTTCGAGAAGCAGGTGACTATATGATGATGAGAGGCTGTACTTGATTAGTCAGTTGTTCCCTAAGATATTTAGCCAGTGAGTTATGATTAAAGAAAAAACAAGGGTCCTATTAACTAGTGGGTAGAATCACCACATTACTTTAAATGATATTTGTTTGTAGCAGTAAGTGTTGTCATTATGTGTGTAATATTTTAGCTTTGTAAACAACCAAGATAATTGGAGACCAGGGTTTGTAGTCGGTACCGGTGGTACTCAACATCCAGTACTGGTACCGGGCTATCAGTACTGTTACTGGTTTATAATATGTCATATGTTGAGAATAATATCTGTTATCACATGTCCCATCTTCAGAGTTTTGAATGAATGGCTCCTCTGGTATTTCAGCTTTGTTTTTCACAGAATAATAAATGTTTGATGTCGTAGTTTTGAGTTCATACTTCAGTTGATAAGAGAATCTCACTGCGAAAATTAGCAATAGCATGAAATATGTGAAACTGGTGACTCCCATGCTTTGGAAGAGAATTTGATTGTGCCTATGTGACTGATTGTATGTTAGGAAGTTGTGTGCATGATTAACACTTAGCATGCTGGCAGGTCAAACTGCACATGTTATGACGTTTTAGTGAGTTACATTCAAAATTTAATTAAACTACTTAATTATCATGCTATACAAACAAACTTGATGTCAAACCATAGATAATAAGTCAAATTTTAATATTATACAAGTTTTAATTTCTAAATCATAGAAGGAAATATTTAAAAACAACCTCAATTTTCCCTAATGTGAGAATTTGGATATTTGTTCTTCAAACGTCTCCTGTTCTGGATTTTTTTGTCCACCTCCTAGAAAACTATTAAATGTAATGTAAAATATTCTCTATAATTTCATCGTTGATATTCTGAAGCTATATTTTTATATTCTTCAGCCTTTGAAACTAAAGAGCAATCAATGAAAATTCAGAACCCACTTTCCATGCCTTCCTCTTACATATTCTAACTTACAATTTGCTAATAAATTTTTCTGAGGCTGACTCTCATTAAGTTTATAATTAATAGAAAGCATAGATTTCAACCAATTTATTGCCATAGTCATCATACCATGTGGGCTTATAGATAATTGACAACTTGGTTTGATGTGAAAAACAATTTGCCCATAAGAACACACATGGAATAATTGTTGAATTTCTAACTGCTCAAGTAATCTGATTAGAGATGTTCCAGTACCAGTACCTGGTTGTTACTGGTATCAGCAACCTGGTAATGCTGGTACTATTGCAAACCCTGTTCGTGACACACTGATTTAATAAGCATTTTACAACTTTTAGATATACACAAGTTTTCATTTTGATGGAGAATTTTATTACTGTATGTTTTTCCCCATGTGTAATGATACAATTAACACCAGTATAGAAACTGATTAAGACATAGATACTCCACCTATATCCTTATATGCACCAAGATCAATGCTTTGTCTTTAATGAACTGTGGTAACTGTATCTTTAATATTTTAATAGAATACAGGAATTTCTTGACATGCGGTAATCTTAGCCATCAGTCCAGAAGCTCTACAGGTCCTTGGGTCAAAATGGGTCATTCAGTTCACATCTTCCCCACTATTATCCACTCAACCTGTATAGTTTCTGTCTCCCACAGTTCATTGGGATTTGGAACTTAGTACTAGGGTTATTCAAGTCTGGGGGTAGTGAGAGAGTTGGGCTAGTTCCTCAGAGTTTTTATTCTTGTTAGTTGTTTGACCTATGAAGACAAGAGATTGGTGTCCAGTCATTGATCTTTCTTGTCTATATCACTGCTTAGATTCTCCAAGGTTCACAAGTTAATCATTCCTCAATCTGTTTTGATTTTTTTACTGGGATTGTAGATGTCCAATTTGGTTGTAGTCTGAACCTATCTGCATTTTGCCTTAGTGGTAGAGTCCCACCACTATCAGCATTTGTGGTGCACAAGGGTCTGGCGCTGCAGTTCTGGGTTTTTTTCCCTCGGTCTCGCATAGGCTTAATATGAATTTTGTTGTATTGTACGAGGCTTTTCGTCCCCTTCATTCCATCATATTATGCACACACCATTCCATGGATGCCCAGTTACTGCTGGCAACATCTCATCAGTTGTAAGACCATCAAATTCTGATTATACTTTCAGATACAACCCAGGCAGGCTTCTCTTTTGGGACTGTGACATCTAATATTGCTCCCATTCAGTATGTCATCAGTCTGTGGGTATTTTTAATTTTTCATCCCATCTCTCAGTCGGGTTTAGCTGTTTCCCATCCTGCTTGATGCTATAGAATAGGATGCCACACTCTTACTCATCTCTCCTTCTCCCACTGTATGGGTAGTTCTTTCTCTTCTGGGAATGTGGACATCACTCAGTTCCTCTGTGCCTTTGGGACGAGAACACAAGCGATCCTTTTATTGGTCTTTAAGCAACCAGGGATCGTATACATATATTTCCTGGTTTCCCCAATTTTCTTAGTCGGGATCATTCTTTGATCTTGAGGGGTTAAGTTGGGATGCTACTACAATTTGTGTTCCTCTACTGCCATCTTGTCCAGAGTTCCATTCTCTTGCTTCAGGGATGGGGTACATACCAACAATCTGGATTTCCAGAGTCTATACCTGGATGATGAGGATTCCCTACACAATGTTTTCGTCCTTCATGCTCTTCAACAGGCAAGGTCTCATGGTCTGGGCTTCTTAAGGGTTAAATTATCAGGCTTCACTCTCACTATTCTATGATGGTGTCATAATGTTTCTGATCAAGTAGGCATGTGGTCTAGGACTTGTTATTTTCGAATTTTGAACCTCCTTTCTCAGAACTAGACTTATCACCCTAATAGCTTCCCATGTTCCACAGGAGATGCATGTGGTAGCAGGTCCATTGTTTCAATCCAAACAGATTCTCCCAACAGAATAAATGTTGCATCACAAGGTTCAGTTGGATTGTCTCTCATTTTGCAATTCTAAATGAAGAAATTAACCACATAAAGCACTCATTTATTCACACCAAAAAATTCCCAC